TCTAAGCCTCCCAGTCACATCTGGAACCAGGACTGAAGTGCGGAGTCTGTGATACAGATAAAGCCCTGGTTACAAGCACTTCCATTAACGAAGTGCCATGTTTTGTTGTCATGCTTATGGTCTGTGTCTGTCTGCATCCTACAGGGGTAAAAATGCAAATCCCTATGCAAAAGAATAAACAGACACTAATCTGACATCAGAATTTGCAATATTTTTTTTTTCAAAAACAGTGGGGGGCCACTTGAACCTCCTAGAGAAATTCTGTCACTGATACTAAACTGGGGCAAGGAAACTTCAAAAGGGGATTAGCACACAAGACGGCTGTGTCACAATTCATTACCTGGTTCCAGTCTATCTCAGAGGAGACATGCAAATCTTTATTTTATTCTTGTTCATGAGAATGAAAAACGTCTCAAAAATATTTCTCTTCATTGGGTGGTTGCTTTTTCTTTGCAAGTGTTTTTGCACGTTTGACACTTTGCACATTTCTGATTTCCTTTCTTTCTTTCTTTCTCGTTCTTTCTTTTTCTAACTAGATGGGCTGTCTTGATGTGTTGAGACTCCCTTCTTATCAAGGAAAAGAATATTTGTGAATACTTTCCCAACACCAGAGGCTTTAAAAAGGATAAAAGTTTCTTATCACATTTTGGATGTGATCCTAAGCAGTCAGAGTGTAACGCTCCATCCACACAATTCCACATCTGCCACCTTCATGTATCTTTCTTCGATGAGATGCAAAAGGTTTATCCTCTAGCCTTTTGCAGCCCATCCAAATCCTCTCCCACCCAGAGCTGTCAAGACCCAGGAGAAGAGGCTGCTGCTCCTGCTGGTTTCCACTGGAGAGGGGAGAAAAGGGGGAAGCGATTCAGATGTTGACAAATTGGTATATCTCGGCTTGAAAAGGGATGGGAAATGCCACGACAGTGGCCTTGGAGGGAGAAAAGAACAGGCAATATCTACTAAACTTAATTCCCTCTTCACTGCCATTTTTCTCCTCCTGTGTCCTGTCTTGTTTGCTTGTTGCGTGCCTTCAAGTTGTTTCTGGCTCAAGGCAACTCTAAGGCCCTATCATGACGTTTTCTAGGCAAGATTTGTTTTTGTCTTATAATATCTTTATTCAA